TTTATTTAAAAAAAAAAAAAAAAAAGGGGGGGGGGGGGGGGGGGCTGGCTTGACCAAGCAATCAAACTGACTACTTGGCCAAACCAGCCCCCCTTGTCTTTTAATACTTTTATCTTCTTTAAAATCAATTTGTTGCCATGTGTCTTTATTGCATTTGTGTACTCCATCAAAGCATTGAACCCCTCTTTAATACAGACACCAATAAAAGGGGTCAGCACGAAAACTCAACATTAAATAGTTATTTACTTGAACTTGAGGCCAGAGGAGTATGACTTGGAAGTAAAGATCGGATAAGATGTTATGTCACAAGTTTATAAGTTTAAATACTTGGGATCAATAATACAAAATGATGGGGAAAATAGAGAAGAAAGACTCGATGAGATTCATGACCCAACCAAAATCTGTTATTTCTAATAAATTTCATTCAATAATAGAAAATGTTAGAAAGGATGAGGCCAATATTTCTCTTATCAAAATTAAGCATAGCCCAAATCCTATATTTTTGTAAGTTAGAAGGGATTAAGTTACTTCAAAAGTGACTCTAAAAGAGTTATTCCTCATCCTCTCTCTTATTTTCTTTTGTTTTAACTGTCAAAGACAGATTACTCATTAGAATTATTAGACAAATAGAAAATGATGAGTGGGGATGAAAAAATATTCTTTTGAAGTTACTCTTGGTGTAATTTGACCTTTCTTCTTTGCAAATAAATACACATATTTCATTGTACTTGATGAAGAATAAAAATTGGAAATAGTGAGAATTATGTAAGGCTGATACAATTCATTTCTCTTCCTTTGAACTGTTTATCTTGCACTTATGTTCATATTGTTTATCTTGCACTTATGTTCACATTGATACTGTTGCAGCTGGCGACAGCCCACTAAACTCGTTTATTATATGCATTCAATTATTAGCTTTATATTTTATATATATATAAAGCTTAAATCTTCAAAACATTTTACTTGCATTTAGTGTATGTACATACATAACTGAAGCACCTTCCATGCTAACATCCAAGTTTTGGAATTCCAACCACACCCTTTTGGGTTTGAAGGATCAACTTTACTGACTATAAATCAATACTCAAACCCTTTTACTTAAGAAACCTAAATCCTTGATTATATTTACATATTTACGTAGCATGGGACAAGAAGAGTATATTTCTTTCTGAAAGAATGTATATCCTTGATTTGCTTATCCTGAAAGTAACAGTTACTGCAGGCCATGTGACACCTATATGATTTCTGATGGAAACTTTCAGCAGAGAGAAGTAATGGATGAAATTAGCTTGTTGTTAAACATGATCTCACACTTGGTTTTCTCTACACATGTGGTTAGTCAGTTCATGTTTTCTCCAAGGGACGCTCATTGGGATATCCAAAGGAGCCACCCAGGCAAAAGCATAAGCCATAATATTTAGTGATATACCCATCAGTTTTGTATTTTTATGTAAGAAACCAAATCCTGATATAGTTTGAAATTCATCAGTTCAGATACAGAACTATTTAGTGCCATTGAATAGGAATTTTATGAATCAAACAAAATACCGATTGATTAATAAATCAACAGCAAATCAAATGAAGCATAAATTTTAATTATAGGACCAAAGTCCAAAACTTTCAATGCATAATCCAAGGTGAGAAGTTACGGATTGACCTTTGAAAAGAATTTCTGAGCATGGCTTCTGATTTGCACAGCAGTCTTTGTTCCTATATGTTCTGCACAACAAAAGTAAAACAGCATAAAAGGAGGCAAAAAAAAAAGTAGTCCTATATAGATTTTAATCAAATAGAGAGCAGTTTGTGTCATTTACTAATAATAAGATATTTGAGTATGCTAGACATCAAGATTATTTGGCAATGTAAAATGGCATTTATGCATCTGAAGATATGAAGTAAAGAAAATATATATAAATATTAATCGTGAGAAAAATATTGCCTTCTATGCGCTGCCATGCTCGCCCGTATAGCTTCAAGGCTTCTAGAAATCTATTGTGTTCATCCTCTGTCCATCGTTCTCTTTGCTTTGTGATAGTATATGGTTTTCTTGTCTGCAATTGCCAAGTAGCCACTCATGAAATAATAATAATAATAATAATAATAATGAGGTTTTATTGATATTTCAATCTCTACAATTATTCTTACTTTACAACTTTTTCTTACAAGAAAAAAATGTAAGTTTTAGTCTGTACACATATAATTGAAGTTTTAGGCCTTGTCATTAATATGTTTGTTCGTGTTGTTGTTAAAACGGCTACAAAATTTTTTGATAGATGTAAAACCACTAAATATTTCTTACACAACAAATTTTAGCTTAATTGGTTGAATAGATCACGTGAGTTGTTATAATTTCTCTTGATACCGTGTTAATTTTGTAGCACGTGTATTGTGAGTTGTTGTAAGTTCTCTGGGTACCATGTTGATTTTGTAGCAGTTATAACGATGTTTATTCGTACAACAAAAATCAAAACATAGGGACAAATATAAGGACCAAAATATCAATTAAACCTAATAATAATAATAACTTTATTAATCTAGCAGTGTTGCAGTACCTGTTTCTTTCAGGAATCAAAATTTCCCATCAATCTGCCACAATAAACGTGACTTACCTTAATAACCACTTCTTCTCCTGAGGAGTAGGCGTCCATTAGAGGTCGTGTGCAGCTAGCGCTGCTTCAGATCTTCCCTGACGAGGAGTGGGTAAAAGGAATATCTCCTTTCGTTTTTTGTGACATGGGACACAGCAAGTAGTAAAGCCGTTATGGTGAAAGCAAGCAGAAGCTGATGATAAGGTGATGCTACTGCAAAAAAAAAACAGAAAGCAAGAACAATAGGTAGAGATCCGTCTCTGTTTGGTATCAGCAACTATAAGCATTCCAATTCACAAGTCACACGCAGGATAATAGAGATTAGAAATAACATGATAAAATATTTAACAAATTTTAAGAATCCACCGCAACGGAGACGCTTCTCCGAAAGAATAAAAGAAAACTCTTTAATCAGAATCCTCACCAAAACGAACTCCACAGCGCCAAAACCTTTCAAACGCGGAAATAACTACAATTAGTATATCACATCACTTCTAACTTGCACGTTCTTAGTTCTAATTTCACTTCAGAATTACTGTCTCTGTCACCAAAAATAAATACACTATACTGCAAGTTCCGTTCTCCGAATTAGTTGCCGAGAATAATTAATCACAGAGCAAGCAGAGGTTAGCTCAACGGACCTGATATATTTAAATCCGGAAAGTTATTCACTGAAGAGTGAAGAACGGAGAGATGCAGTATTAATCGTTTTGCAGCTCCCGGCGATTAAATTTTCTCGGTAACCAAAAAGAGGGGAAACTAAATCATTTTTTAGAAAGGAAAATAAAGGAGGGGGAAAGTACCTCGAAGTAAAGCCATGGTGAAGAGAGTTGCAGGTGCGATCATGCATGTGAAGAGACGGAATTCACCGGACACTCGGCGGAGGACTCATTTTCGGCAATGGTGAATCTGAGTGTTAGGGATCGAAGGAAGAATCAAATTGGAAGTGAAAAGAAGAAGCAGAAACAGTAGCAACGGAAGAAGAAGAAGAAGAACCAGAAGCATCCACACCCCAACTGTTCAACAGTGAGAAGCAATCTCAGCCACTACAATTTCTCCGGTATTTTTTATTTATTTTTTAATAAAAACTAAGGAGTCGTTTTAATTTGAGGCTGCGAAAGTGCGGAAGAGTAGAACTGCGAAGGATGGTGACAAGTGGCGTGAATTTAGTGGCTGCTGGTGCAAACACACACCCCTGCACTTTTCCTACAATTTTTTTTGCACTCTTTTTGAATTTCTTTATTGTTATTTTTTGGGGCCTTTTCCCCTCAACTGAAATCTCATCCACAAACTCTAGCGCCTTAGTTTTCAATCCGTAAAAGCGTCGCCAGTTGTCATATGTGGGCCCCATCAGTTTCGTGGCAACGGCTTCGTCCGGTTACCGGCGCACGGAGCGTCTTCCGTTTTCCGCCAACGTGGTACCTCGCTTTTCAGAGACCGCTACGTGGCCCTCTCTTCATGGTTACTTACTTGCTGTTCGTTGGATATGCTCAATGGACACCAGCACAGCGCGTTCTATGAGATACTGTCAGAATTTTTCTTATTTAACATTTTATATATTGTTAGTATCAAATTATTATTAAGATTTAACTTTCAAAATAAATATTTTTTAATAATATAATAAATATATATACATGCAATTAAGTTGCACGTGTTACAATATTTTTTTTTTCTTGATATTTAAAAAATAATACTTAATTATATATAAATATTATTAATTTACTTTTACGACATATTAATAAATATTTTATATATCTCATGTTATTAAAAAAAACTTAATAACATTTTTACATAATTAAACAATTTTTTTTTGAATGTTACTAAAATGGTATTTTAATAATGCTATTAAATTTTAGTTTATTTTATAAAATAATTAATGGTGTTATCATTTATACATTATGATTCTAGACCTCTTTAAGAATCATCCAAAATTGAAGATATTTTTAGTTAATTATTATTAAAAATATTAAAATTTATTTATTTTAAGTATTATTAAATATAATTAAGTAAATGTTACTAAAATAATAAAATGTAGTAATAATGACTTGATCCTAATAGTAGTATATTTTATTGTTTGTGGAATGAAAACATATTGTTATATTTAATTTAAATTGAAAGGGAATATTTTTACAAACTAAACACAAATATGGTAGCGTTTGTGAAAAGATTTGGATAGAATGGACATAATAATTTGTTAATATTTTATTTGTAGAATAAAAACAGGTTTTGTATATTTTGTGGAACAGAAGCTGCCATGTGGCATCTAAAGAAGGAGGTAGGCAGGAAAAGTGTGTTAGGTCTTGTTGTCCTTTACTGGATGATACTAATAATCTAAGCAATAAGCATTGTCATGTCTCCGATGCCTCTTTGCCTAATTGTTGCTTCATTCCCAACCCACCAGTTCACTTCATAATATATTTGATTTTCCACATATAATATCAACAACGTACGGTAAAATCAGCATAACAAAGATTTAATTTACAAATTATAAAATACATTTATTAATGGAGGTAAGTATTACACATAATTACGAATTCAAAAATTTTAAGCCACCAGATAACTCAACCAAATGTTTAAATTTATAATTTTAGTAATCTAATATAAAGTTGGGAAGGAAATATCTATAATATGAGTTTATGGTCTCCAATAAAATTTAATTATTATTTTCAGTTATGTATATTTATTATAAAAAAAAAGGAAGTGATTTAACATAGAGTGAAAACTAAATATTGATATTTTCTTATTATAGTTATAAATATATTATCAAATAATCATTTAATTATATATCTGCTAAACATTTTTTTTATCCTATTCTTCATGTATTTTAGATAAAAAGATAATCTTGAATTTATGAAGATATAAATTTTAATAATAACAAATTTAAATATTTTTAAGAGAATTTTTTTTCAAATCATACTATAAAACGAATTAGAATTGATAATTGATTATATTTGACATTCAATCTCTCAAACAAATTACATTGTTTGTAAGGCAAAAAATTTAATATATATCATTTATGATATTTGATAATCAAATCATATTTATCTATATTATCCTTAACATATCAAAGAGAATAAAAAATTTATTCGTTATCCACACTAAAAAAAAATAAAGAAATATTTTACATAAGAGAAAAGACAAGCAAATCCTTCAAAAACATGTGAAGTCTCATAAAATATTATTTTTGACAAACATACGCAATAGTTCTTTCCTTTTTATTATTTTATGTTTTCTTTTATTACTAGTATTTACAAATTGAAAAAAGTGTAAAGCAAAAGCTACAAAAGTGTAAGTCTAAATTATGTAAGTTGTGATTCTTAGTTCTTACCCGACCCTGAGTAAGTCTCACATTTTAACTTTCACAACTCGCATACCCTAATGCTAGTTAATTTCATACGTTGAATAGTCTAGTTTATGTTGTTTTATTTCGGATAATTTGGTTTATCTAGGACAATTTGGTGAATGTTGAACAATATCATTTATGTTAAATAATTTGATTTTTTTTTTTAGAATACAAGGAGTCTTGGACTAATATTTATTTATGGAAGTTAGTTTATGTTTTTTTTTATATAAACATGTTTCAAATTATTATGTTGGTCTTTTATTTATGCTCAAATGTATTATTTATATTTTTTAATGACAGGTTTAAATTTAAATTTTGGAAAAAAAAATCATGTAAATTTTTTTAAAAAAAGAATTCAATTAATCTGAACCAAACCAAACTATTGTTAATTGAATTAATTTGATTTGAATTGTTGAATTTTTTTTTTTGATAAATTCAGTCCACTTTATTTTTCCTCAAATTCAAATGAATATAGTTCATAATTACTCATAGTTTTTGCGATTAAATTATCAACCACAATCTCAAAGTTACTGTTTTTTTTTATCCAAAACCAAATTTATTATGTTCTCTATTTGATTTTCTTCGAATATATACGTACGAGTGAAAATTTGAAGAGAAAAAAATAAGATAAATTTGATTTTCATTGCTAATAGATATTATTTAATTCGATATTTTAAAATAAAGAAAAAATGATAAATTAGTATAATTTTTATATCCTAATCTGTCTTTTTACTTTATAAATTTTTTAGAATTATCTTTATTGAAAAATTACTCTGTTTTCTTTTTCCTATAAAAGTATACTCTTAAACATATTTTTTATATGCACTTGCTTAATAATGAGCATGGGAAGGGAAAGTGAAAGCTAAAAGAGTTTGTTTTTAACACCAAGTAGAAACCGTTGGAAGTTAATTTAGTGTATTTGTTTAATTATACAGTAATATGTCAACTTTCACTCAGTTGTCTTTAATATGGGTAATTTAATAAGTTATAATTCTGATTTTTTAAAATATACTTAATATGTAACTTGCTAAAATAGTTTTTTTAAAAAAATAAGTTAGTGCATATAAATAAATATATTCCATATTAAGTAATCATTAAAAAAAATGATCATACGAGGATGTGTTTTAGTAAAAATATGTTTTCCATATTGGGTATGACAAGCCCAATCCAATGGGTTTGACCCAAAGGCAGACATTATAGATCCAATGAGCTTTAGCCTTATGCCATAAGCCCATAACTGAAAAGACACGCCTAACGCCCTCACAAGAGGAATACGATACAAGCTTAGGTTGAAGTGGAATTATACTTAAACTGAAGACTAATTAATTAAATCGTATCAATTTTGTTGAGCAAAGGAGATGAGAGGATTATCGTTGAGAATTGTGGAGGCGATTTCAGAGAGTTTGGGATTGGAGAAAGATTATATTAACACATCCGTGTCCAGAGCTTGAACTCACATTCCTGACACCTTCATAATCAACATGGGTGGTCAAATTCAAGTAATTCGCCCACCTCCTCTTCTCTCTTTATTTTGTTCTTGAAAATTGGAAAGCAATGGACTAATCAACAATTTTATTAATTTGATTTAAACGATTCATAAACCAATTTAATGTGATATATTTTGAAATATTTTAAAAGGTTAATTAATTCGTGAAATTATTTTTAATTTAAATTTAAATTTTAAAATAATTATTTTATTAATTATAAGTTTTAAAATCTAATTAATATCAATTTTAAAATTCATAATTGTAGTTGCTTATTATATCTTTCATATATATTCACGTTTCTAGTGTTTATGGCCTTTAAGAACTTTTATGTTTGCATTTTATAATTTCTCCAAATGAAAGATATCAAATCGCATTAAAGGAACTAGTGTTTGAGGGATAAAATGCAAGAAGGGAATACCAAAAATTGTGAAGAATTTGGTGAATAACAATGCAAATAATGTTAGTTACAGGATGAATCAAAGGAACATGAAGAGCCATTCATTGGTTGGCACATACACTTTCCATTGTAACTTTAAGGGGCATGCGCAAGGGTTAATGAATTGATCAACCCCTGATGCAGGTAAGTTTTTTAATGCATAGTATTGAGTGTTGATATTACTGACATATATCAAGGAGCTTTATATTCAAGAGAATTAAAGTTTGGGTTTCGATGTATGTGTAGAATTTAAAGTTAATTTTTGAGAGAAAAAAAATGAGGAGTGATAAAGGAGTGAGAAGGATAATTACGAGACATCATATGATGAAAAATGATATAAATAAATAATTCTTGAAATTTTTTTCATAGTGAAAAAAATTAATTATCAATGGTAGTGTGCATCAATTTATGTAGTAATGAGCATTTTTTTTGTGCTATATTTAAGAGATATCGATTTCTAGATCTCCTCCTATGTTGTTGCGATCATATAATTGATTTGATAATTATATATTTATTTTTTTTTGCTTTTGAGACAATATGTTAATCTATATGGCATTAAATTAGAGATAACTAGTGGCAAATAAGTGTTAATTGACTATCTTAATTAAATGAAATATCATATAATGAATGTTAGTATGGTAATACCTTTGATCTTAATAGTGTGAGCTTTTTGAGTTTAACTCTTAAAGCTATAGTCATTTAAGACACGAGTTAGTGGAGACTATGACACCCTCTACCCCGCATATCATAACAAATAAATAATAAAATCTGAATAACATAAATCCTTCATAATCAAATGTCAAACATGT